GAACTAGGAGGGAAGGATAGTGGAGAGAAGATGTGAGGGGAACTAGGAGGGAAGGATAGTGGAGAGAAGATGTGAGGGGAACTAGGAGGGAAGGAGAAAATAACTTTAGTAACGTTCCATACATCCATGAAGTCATTACACTAATTTCAAAGTACCAATTCCACCATACCTTATAACAATACACTGGTTATGCTTCTCTCGCTTCATAAGGCTGTATGCCTGTTCTGCTACAGCAAAGATGTGAGGTGGTAGGGCAGTCAAATCACGTCCTTGATACTCATTGATGTATGTAGAGTCGTAGATAGGAAAGAAAGTGTACGGGTTGACGGCTACCAGCACTGAACCAATGTATGTCTGACAAAATAAACGCTATCGGTGTTAACATTTCATCTGGGGGAAAAAATTGCCTCCGAAGAAGGCTTGGGCCTGCGTCGTCACCGGTAAGAGCTGTTCCTAATATCACTAATAAATATTAATAATCAATTAGTTTATTATTGCTTACGTAAATCTGCCTTTCTCGGTATCGTATCAGTAGGTTACGTAGAATTCCTGCTTCATTTAAGTCACCAAGTTTGATCTAGAATGGATAAATAAAGTCATTAAGTTCATTTAGTTTGTGAAGTAAGCTAGAAGGTTTACACCATAATACAATGTTTCTTACCATATCGTCGACGGTGTCCACACTGCCTTGGTGCATTCGATTCAATAGTTCAGCTTCCGCACGTTGTATGTTTATCTCCTGTTAATAAGACAAAGGATTCGTCGCATCGTGTTTTTGACCCTAGTATCCAATGAAGGCATGGTATAGCATAGCTCTCTTAAGGATGAGATGGTTATCAGTTTGATTGACAAGGGCATCCGATGGAGGTCCGTTATAGCTCTCTTAAGGATAAGATGATTGTCAGTTTTTTTGACAAGGGCATCCAATGGAGGTCCGTTATAGCTCTCTTAAGGATAAGATGATTGTCAGTTTGATTGACAGGGGCAGCCAATGGAGGTCCGTTATAGCTCTCTTAAGGATAAGATGATTGTCAGTTTGATTGGCAAGGGCATCCAATGAAGGCATGTTATAGCTCTCTTAAGGATAAGATGGTTATCAGTTTGATTGACAAGAACAACAATTGAAATCTCCGAGTCAGAGAACAAGTAACACACTGTAGCCGACGTACCGAGAGCAGCTTACTTCACACGCCACTGATTTTTCTATTTGCGCAAGTCAAAATTAAATCTATGCAGTCGTTGGCTTTGAAATCCACTTGCGCAGGTTACAATCGCTCCACATGTCGCGCGCAAGGAATAAAAGAAAGTAGAAGGTAGTTCAATTACTTGGCACTAATGCGCACACTTTGTTCTACTGTACAGAGTTTCTCGCATGGTCTGCTTACCCGTTCCTCATCATCTTTGAGGACAACCTTGGATCCTTCTATCGACTCGACACGTGCGCCTATTGGAATACCAAAACCCCCGGGAACGGTGCTGTCGTCCAACCAGACATGTTCGCCTTGCACGATTAGTGACATCTTCTAGAACCTGTGAAATTAGTCAATGTTGAATCAATGATGATGGTGATGATGGTGATAATGATGGTGTTGATGATGATGATGATGACAGCGAATCTACATACAAATATATATCCGATATATATAGCGATATCGTCCAAACTGCTGTTTGCGCATAAATTCTTGCACCTAAAAATTTCCTGTGCCAACACATCTATCTATATATTATTACTGCAAGCGCACGTTAAAAATATCGCTAGAGCCATTTGCTTAGCAACGTCATTGTACAAATTATCCGACCAACTTTACTCTTGTTTTACAGTTTTGCAGTCAGTCTTATTAATTTAATAAACTTAGATATTCAGTAAAGTACTACGCAGTCATCCGAATAACAAAATAGGAAAAATCTAAACTGGTGCATTGTGAGGATCATAAATTGAGCTAAAAAAAATTTAAGCCGATGATCTGATTCCTAAATTGACGGAAATGTAACACACCTGAAGACAATGATCTTGGGTAAATACCGTCATAGTTTACATGGATATTTTCAATTAGACAGCCATCTAAAAACACCATGTTTATGTAGGCAAACCATTAAATATTCAACACACATGTAATGTTAAGAAAAGTCAAACTTCGAAAGACAGAAACTCCAAACAACACCAGACAAAAAAACTTAGTAGATGTACATCGCTGAACATTATTAGAAGATAAAAAAATAGGAGAGACTAAAAAGAACGCAATCAACTTCTAACTTTTGAACACATTTTGATAAGTTACGGCCTCCATGCACAGAGAATTATAATTTTCAAGTCGATATATAAACTCAAACGCCGTGATCAAATGCATGCCAGCTTAATTGTAAATACTATACTTACTCGTTTTATTGGTCCACAAATTAAGACGTTTTTAAACCTGGAAGGTGAAAATCTGAAGCTCACTTCATCTGCAGGTCGAGTTAATGTAGAACAAAGTCGATAATATTCTAACTGAACTTTCGCTCGCTAACTGTGACGAAACATTACATATTTTCGTTTGCAATATACAGCTTCAACTTCAAATTCGTTTCGATGCTCTTTGAGTGATTATTTCTTTTCTATATTTCGTAGTTGCAGTAGTTTTTTATGTTAGTTTTGCTTGAACATTTCCAAGTCAGATTTCTGGTATTTATATCACACGGCATAATTACCATAATGGTATTAGAGTTATCTGTTATATAATGAACGGATGACTGATGATTGAATTGAATGAATATGAATAGATTAACCTCCCACTCCAATAACAAGACAATCAAACGTCATCCAATCAAGACATTTCCATACAGTACGTTTGTAAACAAACCAAAACATTAATTCAAGGTTGAAAAAATGATTGCTTTATCCTAGTAGAGACCAATTTGCATTCTTAGTTTATTTTTGGGAATTTTTTTCTTTTTCGAGATTTTTGAAAATTTAGAAATTAGTTAACGGAAAACGTTTTTGATAATGGGTAAGTAATGTAAGTAATACTCTAGAGTTTAATGATGATGAAGTTGAAGTACTGAAAACCACGACTC